CAAAGCACTGTAGCTCTCAGCACATCTGCTCTCAATCTGCAACCAACAAAATGTACCTGTCAGAGGCCAGTGGCAGTAGTGTCGAAAGGCAGCATCTCGAGATCCAGCCAGCGGCACCTCCTGCTCTCCAAACTTACAGGGTCCCTGCCTGAAAACAACCTGCTGTCACACCCTACCTACACCGATTGGGTAGAGACTGGCACGCAGCGCCGCATGAGCACTGCGCACGAGCTGCTCACTAGCTGCCAGCTGCTCTGGCTGTCACCTTGTCTTTGTCCATTTGCGCAACCTCCTCCCAGATGCCAACTCGCCATCCTCGAGCCGCTAGTGCATACTGCCTCGACTCGAAGCGAAAGTTCGCCGAATTGCAAGCTTGCCATCTGAGCATGCTGCATGGCAAAATCCGACGAGAATATCTCTTTGTCGACACTCTCTCCAAGCAGGTTCCAATCAATCCTCGGCAAACACGGGCAGCCCACATACTCATCACAAGCGCCAAAGCCTAAGTTGTGGTGGGAACTCTAACCTTCTTTCACGGCAGATGTGCTAGCCTCATGCATCGCCCAACCCTAGTAAAGTGGCGAAAGACATTTCACGACTGCCAACCCCGATCTGCGATTCCGGAGCGTGCTGTCCTCTTCCCGTGACAAACAAACTGACGAAGAAAGAAAGAGTGCGGCCAGAACTAAGCTTGTGCCGGCCAGTGGCCGCATCATGTTTTCGTCAGAGAACGCGTCCTCAAACAACGAGACGGCAATGCACTGCCAAGCACAGCATGACACACCCAAGTTAAGAGTACATGCATGTACGTCTGCAGATCCCATCCAAGGAAAGCAGGTTGCCGATCATTCTATCCTTCGAAGGTGAAGGTCAGTCCGACAGAGAGCCGGAAATTCGTTGCCCGTCTTGGATATAAGCCGAGAGTCTAGAACGGCTTCAGTACGGAAATAGGCTCCGCCACAAAGCCCAGCTTGCATGCTCTCGGCGCTCCACTGAAAGCCCGGAGCCTGAGTGTCCATCTCTCGTCGGGAATTGAAAGGATCTACGGCTTTGCAAAGAAATGAAGTCGCGAAACTCTCCGCGTACACTCGGACCATTTTTCAGCAGCGGTCCACTCATCGGCAACCCGAGAACCATCGGGAACCTACGATCTCAACGATCGGAGGGAAAATTTGCCAACCGAAAAGATCAAAGCCACAGACCGCTCCAAAGCCAAAACAGACCCACAGACAGTGTTCAGCTGCTGCCCTTCTCGTGTCAGGTAGCCACCGATTTGCATTTTTGGAGATCTTTAATCAACAGGCGAACCGAAATACTAGCTTATACACAGGGCTGCAACCTTAGCACGTCATCCTTGCAGAACCGTGGCTCGATTCTGTGCCAGTTTCTCCACGTGCTCTGCGAGCTTGAAGGAACGCTTCCTGGGAGGCATGTTGAGATCAAACACGATTGCTACCAGTCGTAACCGACCGTTCCTGCATCGTGCTGTCACCTTCAAACTGCAGCAAGCACAACAGACAGGATAGGATGGGTGCAGTCCTTGTGACAACCAGTGAAAGGTAAGTGCTAGTCAAAGCTCGGGACATGCACACCACCTGCATCGTCCTGTGGAATCCGCTTGACTGGGCCATGCAGCGTGTTGTCCGGCTCCTGCTACGCAAGGCGAATTGAGACTTTGGTGTGAGGCGCCGCACGTGCCAGCTCACGCTAGAGACGTCTGCAAAGGGCTCGGTCCAGCATGATGATGAATTCAGTGTTGAGACTCAAGGCAGCGTCATAAAGACCTACAGCACTGCAGATCACAGTGACTTCAAACGAGCTCTCATGCTCTCTGCTTCTACACCGGCATGCTGCATGCAAAAACACAGAAGTCGGCCAACAGTGCACAAAACCTACCGGACGACTCAGACTCCCGCGTCTGAAAAATGGCCACGGGTGCCAACCTGCAGTAAGGACGGTGAGGGAACGCTTGCCAGTTTTAGTAGTATTGATATTCACAACAATACTAGTACCTAGTAGCAATAATACTGACCGTCTTAATAAGAACAATAAGAGTTTGTGAAAGCAGCAATAACAATGGCAATCATAATAACAAGAATACATGAATAATAACTATAACAACTATATTGACTACAATACCGATAATCATAATTACACTAATAAAGATGATTACCGTAATAACTGTAATCATAATAACAATGATAAAAACAAATACTCAATAATAATAATAATAGTGATACTAATAACAACAGTAGTAATCACAATTTAACGATAGTCAGTGCAATGAGTGTAGTACTGATAACCACAACAATAATAAGTATTCAGTAATAACATCAACAACGATAATCATACTTGTATCTATAATCACTACAACAACTATAGCAACTGTAATGACTATACTGGTTAGAATAATGATAGCGATAAGACTAATAGTAACTATAAGAACGATAATAATGATAATACTTATCATAACCAGAATAGTAGCGATACTAATGATGGTAAGAGTGATGATCCTGTTTTCATTATTACTGGTACTAATAGTCATGACAATACTAGTACTAATAGTAATGACAAATATCACTAGTAATAACCATAATCATCATCATCATCAGCTACAACAAAATGCTCCTAATAATCAAAACGATCATAATACTAAAGCAATCATAGTCACTCCTTGTACTAGTAAGAATGTTACGAGTGCTCAAAGAGTGCTCTCCGGGAGCCAAAGCACCCACGGTGAACGCCAAGGTTCACGGGCTTGTGCTACACACTGCAAGCACTTTCTAAAGCGAGGTAAGTTGCTGTAATCTGCTGCGTCTGACATGACTGAGTCGAGCACGGTCATTGGCTGGCGGGCAAAGCCTGGAAGCTACGGATCGACAGAACCACACCATGAGTCTCGGCATCTGACTGTTGACGCCTTTGCTGAACCGACACGGGACAACTCGGTCCAAGAGGCGTGAAAATGCACTTCTCTCGCTTGCACAGATTGCTGAAGTCCGTTCCTCCGTCACTCATGACCTCGGAGCAGAGTTTGCCTGCTGGGGTCTCCCATTGTGGCCCATCCTATGGACGACTGTTGAGCCGGACAACCTTCAGGTGGGCCGCAGCATCGGCTTCGGCGCTCTCACAGCATGTCTTCACTTCCCGTGTGCAGGCCCACACGGTGACAGCTCCACCGCTTCGGGAGCTCAGGAAGTCACGTAAATCGGAGAGTTCGGAAAGTGCTGCTTGACCTGAAGATGCAGGAAGAGGTGTGCAGGCGGACAGGATGCAGCGACGTTGCAAGATTAAATTTGCTGTCCAAGATACCTGCCGCACTTGGTGAATCACAGCAGCTGGATCGGCAAAGACATGCAGGTAAAAACCGAATTTGGAGGATGGCCTGCACAGCCGCCGCGCATGTCTTCTCTCGCGGTTCAAGCCAATGTGCATGTCGAGGCACGCGGGTGTTTCTGCCTGTCTCACCAGGTTCGGCGGGAGTGAGGCAGACCTGCCATCCTGCATCCGAGGAAGCATCAAACAGCACACGAGAGCTGAGCTTCGCCGACACGCTTCATCTCCACACCCGACACCAGCTGCCGGCCGCAGTTTCCACATTCATTGTCGCTACACCATACAACTTAACCTAGCCATTACCTTCATAAGGTCCGTCAAATATATTTCGAAGCAGGATCCGGGTCCTCCATGGACTGAGCTTCGGCTGGCTGGAGCTGGATTTCTGCTGGCTGAGCAGCTGGTGGAATGTCAGCAATCGGTGATGGCGTCCACACAGTGTAACTGCAGGAGTTGGATTGCTTCCGGACTCAGAACATGCAGCACCTTCGCTCCCATCCCACATGTGAAACAAAAAAGCAGAAAGCACACTTCTGCCAGTTCCTGCCTTTCTGCTCGGCGCATCGAGTTGTCGAGTGCCGCACTTGCAGCTGTGACGGCGCTCGAGACGGAGGCGACAGTTCTGGGCGCCAACACAACACACGCACACAGCCTGCAGCTGTACCGGCTATCACAAAGCTGCCGAGATTGTTTCTTCAGGGCATTCCTGCAACGAGAGGGCAAAAGAAGAAGAGCTGAGAGTGCTAGCACAACCAAGCCAAGGCCAAGCAGCTCGCTTGAAGACGTGAGGGCCCGCAGATCTCCGAAGATCGCCAGCAAAAACCTTGAGCTTCCAGAGCTGGAAAAGGGAGGGAAAAATCAACAACCTGTCGCGAAAGGAGATGGCACTTGATGGCACATCGAGGAGCATTCCTCCAAGCGCCACCATAAACTTCGCCTCCGAGCATCTTGCCGGGAAGCCAATCAGCATGCATCAACGGTGCTGACATGCACTACCAGAAAGCAACAAATAGTGCGTGTAATCAAGGAACAACTCCCCATGGCTGCGAGGATCGCTTTGCCATCGCAATGCTCACGGGCCATAGTCTCACAAGCTGCACAACTGGCAAACAAGGCTCCTTACGAAGCGTGATTCTGCGAGTGACGACTAACGTTGCACGTATCAGCGCGTTGGCCAATTGCTGGGGGCCGTGGCAGAAAGCTCTATCCGCGTGTGCTGTCTAAAGACTCATTCCTTTGTTCGGCTTGAACCGAAAGCTTGGAAGTGGATTTGGTTTGCAACAGCTTGGCTGACAAATGCTCGTGGAATGCGCTCACAACGGTTTCGGCGCAGAGATCTTGCACGTTCGCTTTCACAAAGCGTTCTGGCACATCTGCGCAAAATGCCTGGCCACACCAAAGCCTGGACATGCTCGAAAGTGTGAGGCGAGCAGCATAGAATAGTGTAGCCCCTAGTCCCACCCTCAATTCCGGCTGCAATGACTGAAACCTCCACGGCCCAATGCAGCAGTGCTTACGGTGTTAGATATTCAGCCTATGCAGCAAATCTTGCTGGTAACCAACTCCGCTGCATGACCACTCAGACAGGATTTCATGGGAATGAAAGCACGAACGCAACGGATCGCACCAGCACAACTTGAGCTCAGCAGGCCTCACCGCAGACTTCACTTCTTCGCCTGCTCCAAGTTGCTCAAGGCATGGACTGCAGCCTGCACCAAGCGCTCCAACAGTGCATAAAGCTTTCGGAGAGTCTGACTTCTTTCATCGGCTCGGTACACCCCAGTATGCCCCTGCGAAGGTCCTCGGGGCGCGCCATGGTCAACTCCGAGAGCTTCTGCCTAGGCTCCCAGAGAGCGCGGCTTCAAGAGTTAATTTCACAAGCATGGTGGCGAGCGCATTCACTGTTTCGAGATGTTTCGAGAGTGCGAGTTGCAAAAATTACTGGCACGAAAGTGCGGAATTCTGCAATGCAGGCGGCTGGGCAGCCGTGCCGGGCCCAAACCGTCGCGAGAACCGACTTTCTGCAAATTGTGGACTGCACAACAGCATGGCACAGGAGCCAGAACCGAACGCACACATCCCAAGCCATCAGTAACCCATGCGGTTTCGGGCAGAGCTGCCAGCGAAGACATAGCAACGAACAGGTTAACAGCTTCGTTCTAAAGGCGAAGCTGTAGATCGTGAGTGTGAGACATTGCATCTTCATGTTTTGAAACTATGGGTTAGGATCTATTGACCAGGTCCAACAAGGTCTGCAGGTGTACTCGTTGCAGAAACTCTAAACTCCCGTCACCAAGAATACATCAAATAAGTATCAATAAATATATCAAACGTTGCCCGCAATGGAAAAATGACACTGAGGTAGCTCAGTTCCGGGTGTAGGGGGGAAGATATGCAATAACAAAGTTGCACAGGATACGATCGATTCTATTTTTTCGACATGGAAACGTAAGCGATAGACAGCTCGCAGTTCTGCGTCGGACCTAGACGTGTCCTCCGAATCACCCTCGGATCAGGGTACCAGCAACCCCTGGTAGGGAGAGTGAGTACAAACCCACTCGACGACTGTCGCGCTCGCTAGGCGGAACGCGGAAGTACGACATCTAGTGGCGTGCTACCCTAGAAGCCTGCAGGAAAGCAAGCTCTTTTTACTTTCTCACAAGCTTGTGTACAACTCGAGCCATCATTCTGATCAAGTTCGGAGGCTCGTCAGCTACTTTCAGAACTGAACCTATACACGCCAGGTGAACTCCGTCGTCACTTGATCTGATTCCTGATCTTTGTATCCTGTCAGTTCGTAGTCGTTCTAACTCAAATATCAGGCATCCATATCAGTCAGTCGTCTATATCTCCAATATCAGGTATCCAGATCAGTCAGTCGTCAGGTTATCGTTGATAACGTCAGTTTGTCGTCGTCATGTCGCGTATCGTCTTGATCATCAGCGCATATGCCAACGTTCCATGCTGGCTTGACTGGCTGACAAGGTGTGCAGAACAACAGGTAAGGTATACCGCAAGGTTTTCAACTTCCAAGGACTCAAACTCAAGCTATTCAACATCACGCTACATCAACAGGGATGCCCAAAACCTGAAAATCCTACAACAAGAAACCGAACCCTGTGCCTCACAATAGAAGGCCCATCAGCCTATATCAACCTTTGCTGAGCTATGAAACCCATACAAGCCCCCAAAACCATAACAACTTCTTAAAGCCTATGCCTTATCACAAGCTTGAAACCCCTTAATGCTGGGACATCCACGAAAAAAGACCTGAACGCCAAACTTCAGGCCCTCTAAAACCGAAAGCCAAATCCTCAAAGCAACAAACCCAAGCCCCAAGTCCTAACGCCTCAAAGACGAAAACGGGCGAGCAGAAAAAAAAAAAAAAACTCAAACACCTAAAGCCTCAACCCCGAACCACAAGCTTAAAGCCCCCGAAGCCGTCAACTATAAGGTGCAAAATGTATTTTCGCCGCAACGATGTTCCAGATCTTACATATCTTCTGGGCATGTCTGCATAATACCTTTTCAGCACTTAGAAAAAACTTGACAAGGCGATGTTGCTTAGCAGCACAGTTTTTCGACTTGCCGTTTTCCTGGCGGCAGTGTTCGGCTGTTCAGGCCTACGGTTTGGCATTGCTGGGGCCGGATCTGTGCCTGGGCCTAGCGCTGACCTCAAGCAGCTGGGAATCGAGGGCAGCTGACGATTTGATGCAGCAGCTTCATACAAATACAATTGAATTTCGTGCCGAATGGATTGCGTTGCTATCTTCGAAAGATGCTCGGTATCTGGACCCAGTATTGGACAGCGCACCAGCAAAAGCGTCTGCAACCAAGGGACATGAACATGCCACCATCGTGAAGTCGACCATCCATCGTTGTCTGAGTGGCCTGAAAAACTCCAGACTAGCCTTTACTCCTTGTGCCAGTGCTAGGTCCTAGAAACCATATGAACTTTGCAGGTTAGCTCTGAAAAGGATACACGGTGCTGGATTGCTTGCACAAAAGAAACACATATGTCGGGAGTTGGCCTGCAGGTGTTTGTCAGCCGCATCCAGGCGGTTGTGGTAAGTCTTCATGGTCTCCAGGGTCTCCTTCAGCACCTGCAATCAATCCGTCGTCTGTGCGTTTGAACGAATCGAACAGGAACAAGCTGGTGCTGCTCCCACAGTACATGTTCGAGCTCAGCCGTGACCGGTACAGCAAGCAACATCCATGCCAATTGCCGCGCCCGAAATCTAGATCAAACCTATTGGTTGTGCCTTCTGCTGATTGAGGAGAGCCTTGTGCCTGCGAACCTCAAAGAACAAGAGTTGAAATGACTGAAGTGTTGAGTCACTGCAACACCTGCACTTGCCACCTGTGTATAGACTTTGCACAAAGAAATCAAACCAGTGGCTTTTGCGACTGCAACGGGTTGTCAGCAGCAGCAAAGCTGCCCAAGTCGCGCGTTCCTTGCCTTCCAATGTGTGCCAGCCGCGGAGTCGTGACCGTTGCTTCCTTGATTTCGGATCCAGTATGCAGCGCTTCAGAACTGGCACAGGGCTTGGCCGTCTTCCTGGAGGCGAGGAAGTGGACCGGGTCGCACGAGTCCTTGGCAGGCTTAGAACTGGTCCCTTGGCGTCACGAAAACTTGGCGCTCTATGGCGCTTCCAACAAGTCGCGCCTCTCGAAGCATCATGCCGAGCAAGCAAACGCCACACAACCTGCGCCGACGGCGGCTGCTTTGCTTCAGGAAGCTCCAGGGCTTGAGAGGCCATGCAGTGTCTGAAAGGTTCCTTCAGAAATTGGCTGAAACAAACAAAGTGGATGTACAGCCGAATGGCAGGCGCACTTGCCAAACTAGCAAAATAAGCTCACCTGATACAGCACATTAACTGCAGCTAAAAGGAAAATTACAGGCACGTCAGGCGGAATCGTGAGCGGAGGACAAGCTCCGACAGAATGAAACTCCTACCTGCCAAACGAGATGCAAGATGCTTGAAAGGACGAGCCCTGCATTGATTTTGCGGACGAAACTCAGCTCTTCAACCGCGCGTGGATGCCATAAAGCCTATTGTGCTTCGCTGCCGGAATCCCCATCAGCTGCTGTCGCAAGCAGGGCTGCAAAGGATGGTTTGCGAGTTGTTGATCAGTGGTCTGGACCACCTCGATCCACCTTGTCATCCTCAGCTGTCTGATCCAAACTCCTTCTCCCCTTGCCTTTTGCTTTTGCGCAGTGCAGAAGTCGGGGACTGCAACTGTCTGACAACCAAAAAAGTTGAGGCCGCACAGTGCCGAATGCAGGAAGCATGCGTTGACCCCCCAGTCTTCCGCTTGAATAGCTAATACCCTGTGCATTTCAGTAGCTAGAAGATAGGAAGATTGCGGGCCATTTTGACGCAAACATCCAGCTCCAACAAGATGGAACTCTAAGTTAATCCTGCGCCTGAACGTGGTCCTCCGAGCATGTCCGGCAGGGGCTTCCAGGAGGCAGCTTCATGAAGGTCCAAGCTTTCGGCTGAAGCCCTGACCAACATTGTCACTCGTTTAAAAAGGATTGAAAACAACGTCAAACATGGGTCGTCTCAAAGTGCGCATATATTCCGTGCAGATCGTGGCACAGGGGCTCGTGGCTGTAACCACCGAACACCAGCAGATGCCCAGCAGCAACCACTGCAGCAGCACCAGCTCGAATTACAGCCATGGCTGGCAGCCTGCCAAAGAAATCTGCAAGCGAGTGCCCTTCGTTCGGAGCTAAAGACACCAGCTAAGGCTGAAGCGATTCCCACGCCACCATACGCTTACAGTCCAGTCGCTCCACGGACGCCAGAGCAGGACCCGCACCTTCCTCAAAAACAGAAAAACAGCTGAAAAGCAGCTGACGGCAGCAAAGGAAGCTCTATCCACCATGGTGCCTCTCCGCCACAAACATAGACGCAGCCGCCAGACGCAGCGACAGCACAGTCAGCACGAGGCCCATGCATTGATGGCAATGTCTGCCAAACAGGTACACCGCCAGAAGCTTCTGTCAGTCCTTCCAGTTACAACATAACATCGTTCGCTGCATGCGCGCTGTCCCTCCATGCCATGGGCTTGGCTATTTCATGAATCTGCGACTAGCTGCTAAGGGCTTTCCTGATTTACATGGGCAAAACAATCGACGTCTCCTATGTGGCTGTTGATCTAAATTACTTCATCCTGGAATGACTTTCTTCACGAAGAAAACGGGTAACTTTCGCGCCACTATCGCGGAACTTTCGCGAAGGCATATTTACATATTAGAACCCTGAGTTATGAGCTACAAGCTTCTCGATGACAAGTTGTTGCGGGAATTAGAAGTAAGAGCTTCTACAGTAGCAGGCTTCCTGGCTCTTTCAGGGTTGCATGCAAGCCACAACAGTTGGAAAGGGCTGGTTAAGGCTGGCCGTCTTAAGTTGACAAGGTTTCCTGAAAGCTTCTCGATTGCAAAGCTTTTGGGGGCCTAATCCATTGAGAGTTGTTGGGGGCCTTTCCTACCGGCTTCAGGGCTGCTTCAGGTTGTCTTACGGGTTGAATTGCTGACGATGTCCATCCGGGGGTGGCCTTGACCTGGCAATGTCAACTTCAACATCACTTACGCGGAACGACCGTCTCGCTGCTGGCTTCAATGTACAAGGCCTAAAAATTCTCGTAACTACTGCAGCCACCACAAACATCAAAGCACGAGACTGACAAAAGTCCTCAGGGAGATGACTTACTTCCGGATAAGGGCCTCCCAGAACTGTTTTACCCGACGGCGAAATCCTTGCAGAAAGCGAACATGATGGCATGAGAGTTAAAGCTTCAGGGATGAAGCGTCTGAGCCTCCAATCTACCCATTTTTCGCAACTCACACCGAAAACTGTTATAGACCAGCCCTTGCCAAACATTTTCACCAAAACTTTGGTCTTCGAAGTTGCTCAAGTTGCCAGTTCCATTTCAAGCTGCTCGCTGGAGGCGAGGCAGCTAGCCAACCCTTTCGCTAAGCCGCAAGCCATATGAGTCATGAGGACGGAGCAAACCGTAAAAAGGGAATGATAACCGGCCACGAAATCGGCTTAGGAAGAAATGCACTGCACAAGTCGGAAGGAGAAGCGGAGGGGGAAAATGAAGCAGCAGACCCCAATAAGCATTTGATTGCACAGCTTTTCTCAGCTCGGAACCACAGATCGGCAGTGGGGATTAGATTCGTCGCAACATTGCATACGCCGGTCCTTGCCCCAGGTTCAATAAAGCGACCGATGCCAAGTAACAGCCATCCGAAATGCCTGCCAGCTGTTGTGGTGCAGAGCATGTCAGTATCGCTTCCAGCCAGTCCCCAACGTACCCAAAAAGCTTTGCACTTGCGCAGGTTGCCTCCGCAGACCATGATACGACCACCCACCAGAACCACAGCGGCACCTCGACGAGAGACTGCAGATGAAAAATGGTGCCGAAACAAGGACAAAAAAAATAATTGAAATACTGAAACAGATGCAAAATTAAAAATCAGGGCAAGAAAGTGTGTCTGCGCTCGAGTCAGTACGAGTGGGATCGGGGTCTGTGTGTGGTGCCCGCGCACGCGAGCCATCCTCGGCCGTGGCTGCAGGATTTCACTCCCGACAATTTGAATTTGCACGATGCTGATCAAATAGCATGTGGGCTACCACGGCTTTCCGATGTTCGCACCTCAGCCTTCTCTCCGCCTTTTTACACTTGCACAGGCATGTGTGTGACATGAAGGCATGCGAGGTAAGTTTTCCAGATAGGGTGATTGATTCAGTACTGTGTTCACGTCTTGCAAACCCATTCACAGCACAAGTAGGAGCACCACAAGTGACGTTTTGCACCCTGTTCCGATTGTTTTTTCGCCCTGCACCAGCCTTCAAGCCAAGCGAGGCTTGAACCACAGCACAGATCATGCAGAGCCAGTAATAGCCAATAGCAATGAGCCAGGCTACTCCGCAAACCTCAAGAACCCAAAGCAGTACAACCTGTGATCGGCATCAACGATTCACCTTCCATCATCTTTCACCCAGAACGTCCAGTACTCCATGGCCTTCAAGACCCGCTTCCTCAACAGCCCGCAGTCATTCCCCACACATAAGTCATATTCTGCGACTTACCGACTACTCCTCAGACAACTGACACAGTCAGTCAATACATCTCAGTACGGTTTATCTGCATTGCACGGATGAACATGCCAGTGACACTTTCCTGAAACGAGCCATCACAACCCAAGGGTCATGAAGAACTAGTAATTGAACTTCTGCGAAGGAGGGCGGGCTTCAGGGCTGTACGGGGCGGACACAGTAGATTGGGTAGAAGAGCAACATTTGGGTGGAGGGTCGCCACGGGATGGTTGAACAAATGGATTAAATCATCGATCCGGCTCTGCTCATACCGTTGCGGAGGCAAGTCCGACTACCCCGTGATTCCAGTATTCAAAGATGCCGCCAGTGAGCTACCCACTACGCCCGTCATGCTTCGTTCGGCACGCTACCCCGTAGTACTGACTGGATGATCGTGCTTGTCCAGAAAGGCCATCAAAGACTCCTTTATGCACATGCTCTCACTCACGCATGCAAAGTGGCCAAACGGGTAGGGAATGTGCATGATAACCTTAAACATCGAAAACCTGCGTGGTCTTGAACCCCGAAGCCACAATCCCGCTCGGAAGAACGAGTGTGTGTTGTAAGTTGTAACCTGTACCTTCGATGCTACTATAGTGAGCCAGGGGCAATTAATGGCTGTTGAACATGGAACTGTCGACAGCCGTAACATCAGACCACCCTCCATACTGCACTCATCCGGTCATGCTTACCCGGTTCAGGACAAGTCCTGCACCACCAACAACTTGAAAGGCGGTTGTGATACTCGGCATTCACCCACCAAGAAGAGACAGTAGATTTGTGCCACAGCAGCCTACCCTGCCAGGGTCCATCGCAGGCAGCCGTCGCCAGAGTTGTGCCTCCAACGGCTCGGCGCTGACATGCGCCGATGTCAGCATTGAGAAGAACTCGATGGGATTCCACGTTTAGGCTATTGCAATACGAATCAAGCCTTCGTGTCCCAGCAGTCTACCGCTTGGACTTCCGAATCGTCGTCTTGACCTTGATACATCTTGATACACGTGTTTGCCACACTCAGCAGGGCCGGGACTCGGCTCTTACAAGATCAGCTGGCACTTTGGATGATCTTAGATCCATTTTTCAGCCAAACCACCGCAAAGCAGCACCAACAAGTTCTCTGCCACAACCGCAGTGGCGAACTTGCGGGGACCACTGGGCAGGGGAGCCTGCGATTTCCAGATGCCGGCGGGGAGTGAAAAGCTTTCGAAAGCATCAGTAGCACTGCCACAAGCCAATAGACCGCCGCAAACCTGAGTCAGCAATTTCAGCGGTCTTCCGGATGAAGCAATTTATCCGAAAATGCTGCTTTTACTCGGAGCCTCGTTTAGCCAACATGTCGAGTGACGTAGACGTTTCCATCAACCAGTGCCATGGCTGGTCTCGTGCGCCAGACGGAAGGAGCAGGAAGTGCCTGAGCTTTCAGCGTCCACGGCAGAACCCGGGCACTGAACATGCTCGAATAGCTGGCGAACACAACAGAAGAAGAACGAGGAGATTGGAGATGTCTAGAAGCCCAGCCTCCTGAAACTTGTTGGTGCCGTAAGCATTGAAACGCAAAGCTTGGGCAGCCATGCAAAGGTCCTGCAAGGAAGGAAAGAATGCCAAGCGCGCAACACTACACGACACCACAACAGCGCGGGAGTGATGACTGCTTTCCTCAGGTTGCTCGTCGTCGCTGGTGTATCCGAGCAAGAAGGCACACTCGTCACTCGCTGACCAAGCTGTAGCAGTCACTGCCAGCGGGACAGGAAGCGTGATGAGCCAACTGCGGGATGCAGGATCCCAGAGCTCTACTATCCAGGATCTCTCCTCCAGACACTCGTGTCAAAAGAGAGCACCGAATCCAACATGATGCTGCCCATTGGATGTGCTGTTTGCACAGACACATTAAGTGGAAGAAACAACTTGTCCTCCAAAATGTCGTTTGCAACAACAATCTTGCAGGGAGAAAGCCTGACCAGGAAGTTCAAGAACCAAAATTCTGAATGCTTGCTATCGAGCAGAGCTGAAGTTATTGGTGCAGCACCTCTCCAGCATGGGTCGTAGAGCCGCCAGTTCGACAGCAGACTGCCGTGTTGTGAGCAGAAGGGCGGAAATCCCTCTGTGCCCAAGAGTTGTGGCAACCTACAACGGCAGAAGCACACTTCGAAGACATGTTAGTTTCGTCTGTGGAGCCTCTCGCAGCACGGCTCCCGTCAACATCTCCATTGACAGTGTTGCTCGGCATGGCTGTCATGCGGCTGTGTTCTGACCTGATCCCTACAGAAGTCTTCCTCTGCGTAAGCTGTGATCCCCAAATGGCTGCAAAGCCACGCAGGTGGAGTCGACCGCCTGGAAATAAAGCTCTGAGTGCGCTGACTCCTGCTTGGAAGTCGGCCAAAAAGATGGACTTCAGCTTAGCTTCACTATCCTGCGATACGCAGAACGTGTAACGAACGACATGCCGTGCACCACGCGCTGCCGGATTCGATGTCAGGTACTTGAACCTTGAAAATCTGCACACACTTGTGCACGCATCTAATCGTAGCCGCAGCACCCGCCTGCCCCTGCTTCTTCAATGCCTTCCAGCCAAGGGCTTGCAAAAAAGTTGATCGAGATCCACAGTATGGGTGTACGCATTGCCGCAGCACTAACAGTCATGAGAATGTATCCGAACATGTGCATGCTTGATGTGGGTAATCGACTTGATCCCCGCCATTCCTCACCCATTGTCGGAAGTTCAATCCAACAATGCACACAAGTGATTTTGCAAAACGAAAAGGACAATTTTAGAATCCTGTGTTTGTTAAGCAGCGCTCTACATTGTACATTCTTGAAGTGTGCTCGCTTTGCAGGGTCTTGCACGGCCACTGTTACTCGGACTCTTCCACACAAGCCATCCGTCAATACAGAATCAGCGCAAGCCTTCAAAGGTAAAACTCTTCTACCATGCGAAGCATGCTTGTCTCACCATCACTCTTGCCCTCCAGCTCCGACTGCACCACTCTTCAACCTCACGCCTATTGAAGACACACACGATTCTAGAATTTCATTACTTCTCCACCATTGTTGAAACAGGCACATCATGCTACATTTTGTCCGAGGTCTCCTTGATGCCACTAGCCAGCATGGTGATCAAACTCTCGGGCTCGCTGTTGTCGCTGGCCTGTCGACATGCTTTGACTTCTACCCACGAGAGCTGCGCCAATAACTGGCAACAAAAAGACTGACGGATCCATTGCTTTTTGACTTCGGATGCACCCTTATGCGACACCCTTCGAAGGCGTACCCGCTGCTAGAGGCCGTCCCAGAACCCACAAGCCTTAGCCTCCGGGCTTTTCTCCGCTGGCTCCTCCGAGCTTGCATTGAGATCATGCCATGTATGCTCTCCAGGTTTTCCAGAGATGCTTTCACACAAGGAGGGGACTCAACAGCCATGTCTAGGGGTGATGTGAAAAACGGCCTGCATGTCTCCGACTGAGCAATGAGCATTGAATTCCATTTGCAGTCGTAACCCCAAGTTGACTGTGGCAAGTCTGGCGGGCTGTGCATCAGACATATCATGTCCATTGATGCCATACTCCTATTCCGAAGAACGAGTCCGGTCTTTATCGATGGAAACGACCCCGTCCGTATTGGAGGTCGAAGAAAGCGCCAGCAAGGACAGGCCCTTTGGCGAAGCGTCTTCCTGCATTGAACCCTGCATCTGCAGCATACAAGTCACAAGTGACAGTGGCCGCGTGTTGCCACCCGTGCCCCAGACAGAATCGTAGATCCGATCCGTCCTCCGCGAGCACATCCAAGTCTGTTGCCTGAAAGCCAAATTCAAAAGATATCCGCGCTAGCCCGAAGAACTTTTGAAACAATGACAACAGTACGCATGCAGCATGAACGATGTACCTTGGTGTCGTCCGTCTGCTCAACTGACTCTGTTAGGAACTTCTGTGCAGCTGCGAGCTGGTCCTCACGAAGACACTGCTACTTCTTTCCGGCGGCTTGCAGACTACACTGCGAAGAATTGCAAGACACCACAAGAAAGATGTTCGTGCGTCTTGCGGCTTGGTGCTGTGCTCGACAAGCCGCATTGCGGCAACCCCGACAGAACCCGGCATTCACAGTTCTGACTTCCAGGCAGAGGAGACGGATCCACCTGATTCCTGTGCCAGTCATGCACTTACCTTCCGTCAGGACGTCCTGAAGCATCTTGAGCTCGCTGTGGCGCAGTGCATTTCCCTGATACTGAAACAAACAAAACTGTTTATGCTGGTCACACCGAAGAGGCGCAGCCTTCTGCATGGACTGCGCATGGTGCAGCAAGTCTTCGTTCACCTGGACAGTCTTGACTCTGAAGCCATCACCACATGTTTTGGCACCATTGAGAGCACTAGGCACCAGTGCCTTTTTTGTATCCATGATGTTTTTGGCAATCAGAGCATTCTCCTGTGTCGAGCACTGTGCTCAAGTTGACAAGACGTTGGAATCATACCATTCACGAACACAGCTCGCTTACTAGTCCATCTTCTGGTCCCACACCCCCATTTTGTATCCACCTTGACCACCTCCAAGTTCTTCTGTTCCTGCTCCTGGCCATGCTTTACATGAACCACAACCACAGTAACAGCACCCATTGTGACGACGACGATGACAAAAATAATAAACCGCACCTTCAACTTGCGGTCGAAGACTGCTTTTTGACGCTGCATCCGTGCAGCATTCTCTTGCTGCACCTCAGGAAAGGGCACGATCAGCTGACTGCTATGTGGCATGTACCTCGCTTTTGATCAACAGCGAGCCAAACCACAGCCTGCATCATCTGTGTCTGCAAGCGTTGCGCTTGTGTGGAAATGCCTCCGGTGCTGAGCATGTGACAAGCCGCATCCGTGCTGCTGACTTCTTTGTGCAAATTCAACATCCGCTGGCGAATCGCCAGCAGTTGTCTGTCTCAGAACTTCGTCTGAGGTAGAAACCGGTCAATGTTTGTGCCGCGTCTGACAACATCGTTGTAACTGCTGGAAGCTCGGGGAAGCCAGTCTTTCCTGCCTCACATCCGACATGAACCAGCAAGCACCTGCAACATACCTGCACGTATTGCACTGCATAAGTCAGCTCTGCACATCCACGACGTTGGGCACCTGAGCGGCGCTGCTGCACAACAATGAATCATTCTGGTGAGCCGTACACAAACTTGTGGAGCAAGGTTCGAACTGAAGGCAATGAGACCTGCAGCAATGGCGTTCCGAAGCTGCTACTTCCGCTGAACGAAACAGCCGCGTGCCTCATTCGGGTCCGGAAGACTTTGCTTGTTTTTTCCCTTCGACGCAGGGGCACATCAACCCCAGAAAAAGCGGAACAACATTCAACATGTTCGAAATTTGGTAAAACTTGGTAAGAATGATTGTGCTTCTGCAAATATTGCACATGAAGCCACTCTTGGTGCCTCCAAAACGACTGCATCGAGCTTAATCACCAGAGATGCAGCAACAGGCACCAAAGCACGTGCCAGCTTCATTGCCTCATCACAACATGTAACTCCGATTCCAGAGAAGCTTGACCAGCTCAGAAACGAGATGATCATCCTGCTCGCATATGCCATGTTAAAGTTGCAACCAAGTCTCGCCGACCAGGGACACAAGCTGTCTTGCTGCTCGATACCCTAGAACCAACTGCCTGCCCCACACAATGACGCACTGCGGCTCCGAACGCCAGGGGGAACACATTGACACACAAACGGCCCAAAAAATATATAAGCTGAAGCTTCTCGGCAATTCGACACAATTCGCACACCAGTTTCCACAGCTGCATGGGTGTGGCGCTCTACTGTTTTTGAGGGCTCAGCTCAACGTGGATAATGTATCCAGTCAAGTCAAAGAAACGTCCATGTCAAAACAGAACGGCCTGCTAAACAAGCGGTACCCTCCATCCTTTCTCAAAACATGTTGTGAATTCACAAAATGATCTTGAAGCTTTGTCACTAGCATGAAAATCGTACCAATAGCCCAGCATTTCTGCTTGATCCCACTTGCACATCGCGTTCTCATAAACAAGTCATTGACTAATTTCAAAAGACCGACCGCAAAAAAAAAATCAACGCTGCTTCAAATCTGTTGAAAACGAAATTGGCTGTTTTTGTTGTCAATCGAATGGTGATGCAGCCAAACATGGAACGGAAAAACCCACCGCAATCCAGAATTGCTACAAGATTCATGATGACCGCGCTAAACGCATTTTTTATAACAATTCAAATGAAATGATGCATAGTAACTGCAATTCGGTTTACATTGTCAAGGACACAGTTCTTAATGCTAAAGCTGTGTGGCGTACTATTTCCAACTTTTTGTGACATCATTACGATTCGTACTGTTTTATCACAAGCACAGTTATAGGAAACATCAAAATGTGCATTTCGAGCTGGAAACTCCGATCTCAAAAAATGGTCATGCGTTCGGAACTACGCAATTTCCGTGCTTCTTGAAATCATGAGTGTTGAACCACGAACCACCGTGATTGCTGAGAAGGAACCAGAACCATTGATAAACGCGCAGCAAAACCAAGCAACAATCAGAATCAAAAATACCCAACCAAACAATCTTCAGAAGTTACTTGTTGCAAGTGGCGAAATCTGCTGTAGCACAAACCTGACCTTTCTGTTTGTTCAAACGATGTTCTTGCCGGACGACGCTTGCTGCTGAGTAGCAAAAGCAGCCGCAGTCGACAAGCCCATCCACGCAAAGAAAGGCTTTTTGAATCAGCACAGCGAAAACAGAACAAACGAATGATGGTACTCTTGTAGATGCTGCTGGATTGAAGTTGTCTCACTTGTGTCAAGCACAAATTGCCACACCTAGAGATTTCTCTCAAAATGCATGTTCAGATGTGGGTTGGAAGGCAGGACATGTTGCTGTTTTTGGAAAGCTTCGACAGTCTGAAAAAGACGTGCATGTCTGCTTTCAAACCGCTTTTCATAAACCCGGAGCCTGTACAGCGTAATCCGGTGGTCAGTTGGGAGTGCAAGTCCTCACCTTGGATTGAGTGCTGCCAAAGCGAAAACAGCTGTAATTGAGTGGGAAGGAATGGAAAAGACTTATCCTTTTAACTCGAAATCCGAAAACCGTTACGCACGCCGCTAACTTCTTTTTTTAATACAAAATTAGCTACCGCGCGAAACGCCGCGCCTGCCCTGCTCTGGTTACATGAGCCAAGCTCAAGAATGCTTCGCTAAAGAAGAAACAAGCTTTTGTTCTCTATCCAAACATTTAATCATCTCTTGAGTTCGCATAAATTACTATTTTTTCACCAAATCATAATGATTTTAGGTTCGACGGAATCACTTGGTCATTTGTCCTTCGTTGTGATCGGAAGTCATGAAAGGGTCACACCTCCATTGCCCATTGGAGCTCTCAACAATTGTTTTCCAAACTCCAAAAATTTTAAGATTCTGTTGCAACTGGCGCCGTGGAAACTGAATCCAACTCCAATGCTGGTTGAAAAAACCCGCGCACATGTTCAACGACCAGAAAGCAAACTATTTTCCAGTGGTTGGATTTTTGGAAACAAACTCTTTCTACCTCTTGGTCAATCGCCAAGTTCAAACTGGTAGAAAAAAAGTTGACCAAGGCATCCACTCCATCAACTCATAGTTGAAGAGAGGCAGCTGCCAGTTGGTGCAACCATGTTGCTGCAAACACGTGCATCCACAGCAGTGGAAGCGAAGCACTTGACGACAGAGCAGAAGTTGTAGACGGGCTTGAACTCTAGCAACAGACTGCAGTGCAAATGCATCTGGAACGAAACCAGACTGAAAGTGATGCACAAAAAGACGTCCAAAACCGATGCTTTAAACCGCAAGGCAACAAGTTCAGCGTGTTCATGTACTTTAGTCAACTGCAGACCAATGCTTGCAAAGAAGACGCGCACTCTTTTTACGTGCTGCTCAGTAGTTTGAAGTCCGGCTGCGGGGCGGCAACTTAGATTCCTCGTCGGTGAAACTACTTGCTGGGTCGGCGTGAAACGATATAACGCCAGCGTTGACGTTGTTGCAGGTGGAAAGCTGAAATGCATCACACGGGTGCTGAGCATGGGGCGTAGAAAAGCCCATAACAAAACGAAAAGACGCCACACGAAATCGACTTGCGAGGCTTCTCACACGAAGCCGCTGTATGGAAGCTTCTGCGACGGAAAGAAAA